GGACAAGATCTGACAGTTATTAGAACCTTAGTTAACAACAGAGGCTATACAGGGTGTCCAGTAAGTAGAGGGAAATATTTTAAAGGCTGATAGAAGACATCAAGATATAAAAAAAAAAAAAAGTTTTTTTGCTTCAGAATAAATTAGATAAAATTTACTTCAAATGAAAGTAGAATTTGTCATTGTTGAAACCATGATGAGGACTATTGAGCGGCTTAACTAAGTTAAATATAAATCATAAATTAATGAAGAGAAGAATAGTTGGGGTGCTTGACTGAGCACCCCAACTATTCTTCTCTTCATTATCCACGACAGTCAACCAATTACCAATTATAAATCATAAATTATTTGCGATTTTTTTTTATCACCCTCCGACTATATTACAGATACCCCACTTAAAAAAAAAATTCCTCGTTTAATAAGCTTTATGTCCAAATTGAGTTTAAGTTGAGGTTTAACAGAGAAAATTTTAAGATTCACTTTAAGTTATGGGGAAAAAAAATGATTTGATATCCTGCCACCTAAAAGTAACCATTTTTTCATCAAAAATAACTACAATAAATTATTTAAAAGCATTCATTTCTCTTTTCCCATGTAATCTGTGGTGTATTATAAGGTACAGTTTTGATTTATTTTAAAAAAATGTTAAAAATAATGGTTTTTCGAATATTTATCATCTAAAGTGATCATTAAACTGTTTTTTTTTTTTAAACCAAAATCTCTATAATAGATATTGATCCGTATTTATAAGTGACCAACTAAATGTTTCCCATTCTAATATTTGCGTTTGAGATAAAGAAATCTACTGATTGCTTCATTTTTTTACGAAACGAGGGAGGAGTTTCAGCCCGAAAGTCTCCCCGTAGATTCGCCTGCATCAAGTACATTTGATTTCTTGTTTATTTGACAACGCATAGTTGTCTTTCGTGATGTCTGCAGTTTGGAAATATTTTGCACAAAACTACTCCAGAAATGTCATGGATAATTTATACTTGAATATATATAAACCGACTGGCAAGACTACACCTTTTTTCTAGTTTCTAAGATTATTTTTTTTTCAAAAAAATACTAATAAATTGATTTTTTTTCGTTATAAACAATATATTAATACTTAATTGTTTCTATTAAATCTACTAAAATCTAATACTTCAACATTAATCCTCTTACCTGATATAAAATATCGAGACGCGAAGTATCAATATTATATATCTCTAAGGTTGAACGATTAAAAATGTCCAGAAACGACATATCGTTAATTCTTCCATGCATTGAAATAGTATTTCAATATTTACATTCCAACGATGTTATGTTCAAGGTTATTCAGAAAGGGAAACCAAGCCAATCCTTATAACTAAACAAAATATCGTTAGAAATTACCGGAAACATTTTAAAGCAGACATAGCAAAACAGCACAACGGAAAAAAAAGGCTATGTTTGGACTATGGAAGTGAGATGTGCTGTCATTGGACTGTTTCTTTAGCTTTTTTAATCCTAATGAAGAATGAATAGGTGAAATATTGGCAGTTTTAGTTATTTCCAGCTATTTTAGAAGCTTAAGGCCTTGTATTGGAAACATACAAAACCAAACCATATATTTTTTGGTTCACAAATACTAATTCTAATTTTTAATTCCACTTAAGCAATTTCAACAAATTAAAAGATAATTAATAGTTATAGTATTTGAAAGAGCGTTTATTGAAATGTTTACAATCAACATGTGGAAGACAATTACAATATCATTTAACCAGAAAAATTTTTAAATTGATTTTAAAAAAAGTCTAGTTTCTCATATTAAATTTCTTTGAAATACAACCTTAAATTGGAGTAAAGATTAACTTGATTCTTTCATATATTTTTCTTATAATGGAATCATGGATCATGATTTTTTCAAGCTTTTTAAAATATCTGTTAAAAACAATTATAACATTAATTTATTCTTTCTCTACTGGTTTAGATTTTATAGTATCTAGTCTTTAAGATTTTTATTATGTTGTTATCTTTAGTGAAGTAAATTTGCATTTAGATGAATAATTCAAAACAAATACACATCAAAACTTGGTTAATTTATTTATTTTAAAATAATAATGTATTAAACCTATATAACATAGATAGGTCTATTTTAATTTTGAGGTCTGTTTAAAATGTATGATCAGATACTAGTTAAATAAAAAAAGGTTTTTAGTAAATATTAGTGGTAAATCAGTTCTCATACGTCTTAATTCTTAAAAATCATCAAATTAAAACTATACCCACATTTTTATTAAGCTCCATTAGCCTACAACACATTATTAAAAACATAAATTAAACTCATTTAAGCTGAAAAAAAAATTGATTAAAACAAACACATAGTGCAATTTTAAACAGCATAAGTCAAACTACAGCCACCAACACCTCTAACCCAGCTCGGGAAAGTTTCTTTGTTTATATGGAAACATTTTAGACTATTTAAAAATATGAAATTTAGCAAATTATTCACACACGAGGTTATTACAATATTTATTCCATGTAATATCTCTGTTATGGAGCTTATTTCAGAGCTATAAGTGTCATTTATACAACAATATTTTTTTTTCATCTCAAGTCATGGCCCGTGGAATTTAGTCGAGGTATCATGTGGCCTGCGTGCCAAAAAGTTTGGAGACCCCTGGTCTAAACGAAAGAGTACAAGAAAAAACTCATGATTATCCATTTCTTTTCGGAAGATATACATTTTTTATGATGTCAATGACATGAGACAATATGGTGAAACTGAGGATATAAGAATAACTCAATAACTCAAATAACTGTGACAAACTAAATTCTTTGTTTCATGAAATCTTAGATGCACCAATGAAATTATGGACAAAAGAGATAAAGCAAACCAATTTATAGTTACTTACATCAATAAATAGAATACCCAAACTAAGTTTCATAAAAATACAAGATGGTGAATATAAATAATTTTTTTTTAATGAAGATTAAGCGTTAGACTGATCAGTTATAAGGATGAAACAAAATTGTCAAGAATTTCAGTCGAGATATTTTTATTGGGTTAGCCAACGTTGAGAGCCAAACATGTGGGTCATCCTCAGGGCTATCGTTTGGAAGTTGAGATAAGAACTGAAATTCCTGGCAATTTTTTTTTTCATCAAACAAATTTTTTTAGTAGTTGATTTTTTAATATTTAATAATGTCAAGAAAAATTGTGTGATTTAGTAAAAAAAATAATTTAGTAGAGGAAAGATCATTACAAATAATCCAATTAAATCCAAGTGAAGGAAATAAATAATTTGATTTAAATATAAGAACTATCACATGTATTTAACAATTTTTCACAACTGTTTCTAATATAAGATAAGCATCAAATAGAAAAACCCTATTCATTTTTGAGCAGTAAATTTAGGAAACTCTCAAGTACCACCCATCCCTATAATCCTCAAAGAAGGTTAAAACGGCAATGGTCACAGGACCTTCTTTTGTATGTATTAGAGTTCTAGCAATGGCCAGATTCTTTTTTATGAATGGCCAGATCTAATAAATCGTAGAGGAAATAAATACAGGGTCTAAGTGACAAAGCACTTTTAAATTGGTCATTTTTTAACTTGTTTAGTTATAAGCTGAGTCTTAAGTCAGCAACACATAAAAAAAAAATACCAATGCACTGAAGCCAGAGGAAGTTGCTTGTTTTAGGTCTTAAATAATGGGTCTCTCAACAAGATGAGAAAGGAGAACAAAGTCATGGTATACAATTCCACCTTAATATCACTACTCTATATATTCCTCTGAGTCCTAGACAATTTAAAATAAAGGAGAGATTTAGGCAACGGAAATTTGCAACCTGAGAAAGGTTTAGCCTCTGTGTTACTCCACATAAAACTGGAATAGAGAAACCCCAACTAAGATGGAACGGAACATCTTAGAAGACCAGAGAGTTATGAAACCAAAGTATGCAGAATGTGTACTTTGCTGGCCAAACCAGAATTATTTGAAAGCAAAACATCAAGAAAACCTTCCGTAAAAGGAACCTAAGCTTGAGAGAAGATTGGTGAAGAGTAATGACACATGTATGTATGTGTCTATACAAGCATAACTATAAAAAGTTTAAGTTGTGAAAACCATCCTAATCAAGCCCACTATAAAAATGGTAACATCCATAGCTTGGAAGAAGACAACCCTAAATCAAAAATAAAAAGTTATGTCCAACTTCTATGGATTCATAATAATCTTATTGGCATTGCTTATGCAAGAGGGAAAATTGTTGATTTTTGAGTTCTGATGATTTTCTCGATACATACATACACATATATTATGTCGTGTGTGTACACACATAGATATATACACCAATACAAACAATTACCATGAAAAGTTAAGTTGTGAGTAGTGTCAATCTTCTTTTAAGTTAACAATATGATCTAAACACTCCTCTCTTTCAAATGTTTATAAAATAGAAATTGTAAAGAGGTTGTAATTATAAATGTAATCAGAGTAAACAGGTCTCACTTATTTTATTTGTTACATACATTCCTACATATTGGGGACACCCGATGATTTTCCTAAATTAATTTTGATAAAATTGTTTTTTACAACTTAGTGGATTAAATTCAAGTTAAATTGTCTCAAGATAAACTTTTATTATTTATAAAACTATCAGTTATTTCACTATTTCAGGGCAATTTTACACTTTTATATTGTATAACAAGAAACTAAAATTTATTCAATCTATTTAACACTTTTTATTGATACCAAACATAATTTTTAATAACCTAATCTTGTCAGAAAATTGAAAATGGGATGCTTTATTATAAGGATTAAATGTTTATCTTAAAACACAAAAATATAATCACATTACCAAATGGAACTTCTATACAATTATCACATAATTATGAACCCTTAACATACCTCAAAAGGTTGAAATTTTGAATGTAAGTAATCCATTATAGCTAATACAAATAGCAAACCAGTAACATATTGAAATTCACCTAATGACAAATAAACATATTTGTGATAGCAAGCAAACTAACCTTGTCTAATGAACCTAAGCAAAATTTATTTATTTCCAATACCGCCTGCTCTTTATTATCCATAGCTGATAAAAAGACTTAAGTTGTCACGCAAATTCAAAGAGATAATTCCGAAGTATTATAACCTTGGTAAGGTCATTCATACTTTGAAAAAAAAAAAATAACTGAGCACCCAGTAAACCTATTCCAAACTCGTTACATATTTCCAACATCTCATTGCATATTTCTGAAAATACAATCAGCTAAGCTATACATTGTAGTATTCTATAACTGAAAGATGCATGTCTTAAATATTGAAGTAAATATTTACGATTATAGGATTAACTCAAAATTTGACAGTGAAAAGTGAATTGCGTAACACGCCTGGTTTTACAATCCAAGGCGTAATTATCAAATATTTCGAAATACTTGAAGCTGGATTTAGTACTATTGTTTTTAAATTTTGCTTTATAATTTTTTATCATTTCGAGAAAGAAAAATAATCGCATATTTCTTTATATTCAAGTATTGAATGTTAGAAGAAACAATTAGGCAGTGTTGTTATTTATTGTGTGTATTTTATTCATTAAAATATCTATACAATAAAATCCCTAAAGATCCATGCGCTATTCTCTCAACCGCGCCACTGGTGCTAAAGCCAGTGAAGGTTGAGCGAGAGCGCTTTAGCCGCATTCATTCAGGTCTTGGATGGAGAATCTGGCCATTGCCAGAACTCCAATACATACAAAAGAAGGTCCTGCGACCATTGCCATTTTAACCTTCTTGGAGGATATGGAAGGGGGGGGTACTAGACAGTTTCCTAAATATACTGCTCAAAAATGAATAGGAGTATTTATACTTGATGCTTATCTTCTTCTTCTTCCTTCTTGCCTCTAGATCGCTGTCAGAAAGTAAAAATATAAAATTAGTGGTCCTCCAGACTTCAGAACAGCTTGGTCCCAAGGAATGTAGGTTGGGGCCATATCTGCCTCCGTATGTCCTCCACTAGCTTGCAGCTTTGCAGAATGCTTATTTTAATCGTTTAAATTAAAATACCCTATTTTTTTTGTTCTTTGGGGATTCTCTTATTTTTTGGTAAACATAAAAAGTAAATAACAAGTACTCTTTATTTTTAAGAAATCATTAAGCAAAAGATAGTCAACATGAAGAATACTCATTTTGTAAACCAATAGTTGTTTTCGAATTTTCTCAATTTTAATCCAGAAATATTCTGTTCAATGAAGAAATGACATCGCATTGAACCAGAAATTCCCAATATTGTGAGAATATTGATGAGCCGTCAGGAACACCAGCAAGTAAATATCGCCGATGCAGATGCGGTCTCCTAGATTTTGGTCTTCCGAGATTTAACCAGATTCAGAAAAATCGGAAGTACAAATAGGAGACCTGCTAGTGGATCTTAGCACATTATGGTACCAAGGGATGACAGAAATATTGTTATTACTGCAAGAAGCAATCCTTTTCATAGTGCCCGACAGAGTCTAAATGAAGTGCCTCCCTCATAAATTTTGATAGCTCAATTTGCACTATGAAACCCCCTTCTGGGCACCTCTATTTAATAGAACTTCAAGAATCACTCAAACACCATTTCTTGTATGTAGCTAGTAGTAGCTCGTAGTTTCATTCTCGTTCAAATTATTTATCATTACATATATAAACAAAAAAAAGCTTTCGAGCTGTAGCTCTCCAAAATTAATTCATGGGTCCGCTATTGGCCATCGTAATGCTTTAACAGAAACAAAAAAATATGAAACATTTGTGGGTTAAACTGTGGAGTGCTCGATGCAAGTTTAGGGTGATCTATCAACCCTCCATCCATCTCTAAGAACTGGAAAAGGAGGGGCTAAGGCGTTATATAGTTTATTTGAGAGATAAGCAATTTAAGGAACCCAATCAGCGCTATTCATTTATCTGTGAGAAACTGGTTCCTCAATTCATTTACTTTCTTCAATAGTTCTGTTTGTAACACAAAAGCTGCTATCGTTTTTTGCTTCCTCACTACGGAAGGTAGGGAAGCATTGTGTTTATCTTTGTTTTCGTTTCTATAGTCTTCATTAAGAATGTCATATTAGCAATTATATTTTTCGTATTCGTATTTTAAAACCTTCATTGCCGCCATAGAACATCAGCCATGACGGTTGTCAAACAATTCACCACGAAAGAAAGTTTCTTCTTCAGATATTTTATAGTCGATGCTCCTTTCTATGTGACCAACAAAACCCTACACCATGACCTTAATATCCCATTTGTCCTAGACCTTATCCCATAAAAATTCTCCAAATTTCACCAGAACCTTACCCACCATCCAAATCCCTTTGCACAATCTCTATCCATCACCACCCACCCCTATAATCCTCCAAGGAGGTTGAAACGGCAGTGGCCCCGCGACCTTTTATAGTTTGTAAATATTGGAGTTCTGGCAATGGCCAGATTCTCCACTTACGACATGAATGTATGTGGCTTAAGCACTCTTGCTCAATCTCCACTGGGTTTAGCCCCAGTGACGCGGTTGAGAGAGAAGTGCTGGGATCTCCTGGAGCCATGCTTTTCCCTCCACACTTGGAGGGACAAGTCTGGTTTGGATTTCTCTCACCAGATTGTAAATATTGTATATAGGTATGTATGTGTTCTTTTTATTCATTTATTTTTAGGTTATTTTATTCTTATTTATCGTATATATATTATATTTTTTGTATAATTTATTTTATTTACTGTACATAGAGTGTGAATGTGATCTGTGAACACTATTATAAATGTCCTTGAGACAGATTGTAATATTTTTCAATAAATAACATTAAAAAAAAGATATTTTATATAATTTAGCCTTCATCAAAGTTGATCTATTAAACTGTGATGTTTCTCGTCCGACTAGTTTTATGAAAAGAAGTTCAGCAAAGAAATACTGTAGTATAATGCGGGACTTTTACTATTTCAGTTGCTTTTACACCATGTTTACTAATTTTTAATCCTGAAAACTTCTTCTTCTTCTTTGTCTACATCTGATGCCATTTCTAGCGTCGAGGAGCCTCAATCCAACGCAGCCATACCTCTCGGTCCCGGCCAAGCTGCCTCATCTCTTGGAGAGTTTTCCCTCTCTTTCCTCCAATCCGCTGCACGTAATCCTGGTAGGAAATTCTGGATCGGCCTCGAGGCCTCCTCCCAGTGGGTCGTTCTTCCATCACTTACCGAGGTTCTCTTTCATCATCCATCCGACAAACGTGGTCAAACCACTTCAGTTGTCGATTTATTCCTGAAACGGTCCCTTCTGGTCTAATCAACAGCCCTCCGCAGGAACTTCATCTCAGCACTCGTTATACGATAAACTTTGAACCATAACATTCCTAATGTTCCATTTACCGATGACCGTCCAAGCAGTACGGTGCTTACAAATTTTATCCATAAATATGAAGAATAAGTGAGGAGTGAGGCTGTTTCCCTGTCTCACACCTCTTTCTATGGGAAAAGGTTTGGACTCTCTTCCATTGATCCTCACAACTCCTTATGCTGCCTGATAAACCGATGTTATAGCTGTGATAAGACCTCCTGGAACATTTTTTGCTTTCAAAGCATCCCATATTTCTTTTCTGGAGACGGAGTCGAACGCTGCTTTGACATTTAAGAATACCATGCATATGTTCTTATCTCTGTCCCAAGCTTTCTCAGCGATAATTCTCAGTATGAAGATGTGGTCTTGAGTCTGCCTCCCTGGACGAAAGCCTGCTTGTTCTGCTTATATTTGGTTCTCGACTGCAGCCCTTAGTCTCCTTTCTAGGATTGCGGTGTATAGTTTGTAAGCTACCGAAAGTAAGCTTATTAGCCTGTAATTTTCACAGTCAGTGGAGCTACCTTTCTTGCTTATAGGAACGATGATGCTGAACTCCTAATCTCTCGGAATGATGTTTGTGTCTCATATATTTTGGAGGAGTTGTTGGAGAAATTTAATAAGCTCTTGACCTCCAAATTTCAATAATTCTGGAACTATACCGTCCCTTACTGCTGCTTTACCTATTTCAATTTTTTCGATGGCATTCTCTACCTCATCTTCCTTAATAGCATTGGAATTCTCCAGACTATAATTTTCTGTATCATGTTTTCCTGGGTCATTAGGCCCTTTTGAGAAGTGTTCTCGATAAAACTCCTTCCACCGCTCAAGAATTTTTACCTCTTCTGTTATCATCTTGCCGTTTGAGTTTTTAACATTTCTAACAGGCTTACTCCTTTTCCCTCTCAATGTCTTTACTTTGGGCCAGAATTTTTTAATACTCTTTAGAGAGAGTATTAAACCACCGGGTCCCATGCAGCTCTTTTTGCTTGACGGATCACTCCTTTGCATCGATTTCTGGCCAAATTGTATTGCCTCCTTCTTTAATTGGACTACGTGACGCACTTCTTCATTCCACCATTCGGTGCGCTTCTGTTTGCTTTATTTTTTTTTTTTTGCTTATATAAGATATATATGTTTCGGCTTTTTCGTCTTAATTTAGCCAATCTAATGGATTAGTAATATTAGATCATATTTTTTTCAAGGTATTATATAATGCCCAAATTATTGTTGTAAAATGTTGATTTTCGGTGGTGGGACGTATTTTTTTTTTTTTTATCGAAAAACAAAAACTTATTATAACAACAAATTTTTAATTTTATTTATTTATTTTGCGATGTTTCATATTATCTTTCAAGACTCGGAAGTCGGCTGAAATATCTAAATTTTGTGTGTGGGAATGTTGCTGGGAGCACGAATATTTTATGCACTATTTTAGTGACTATCATTGTCACTATGTTAGTGACAAGGAGAGACAAACACATATATTTTCGAGATTTTTCCAATGACTCACTCTGAAATAGGCAGTTATGTACCTACGGATGGAAATGGCTGTTATCATTGTGGAATAACAGTTGGTTGTTTTAGAACTACAGATAATCGATCGAGCCAAAATCTCGGAAGCATTTACCGAATATCCCGAGGTTGCCGAATGTGTTCTAGAATGCCAGCACATTTAAGCAGCAAATTGCTTTCAATTGTTTCTGCGGAAATTGAATTTTATTTCAAGGAAAACGCTTACATTACATCTAAGCTTTCATATTTTGTGATGACAAGATTTTTATTGTAGGCCATCATTTCTTTTCCTGTCTCCTAAGGACTCATTAAGGAACCGGAAAACTCGTATCCCAAATATTGAACAAAATTATTTTACCACTTTAAAAAAGTCATGAGTTAATGCAATGACGTCAACCATTTCGTCAAAACAAAAATCGTACATAATATTTTGAAATGGAGTTCTGGTTTTAAATCGCTTAATCATTTTTAATTTCTGTATATTAAATAAAGTATAGTGGTATGAGGCTTAAAGTACATATGGCTTTGAAATTATACCATGTTGCGACATCAGTTCTTTTAGGCCTCATTTGTCTACATGATTCATCAAATCCGAACACATGGAACTTGCGGCCTCCACGCAAAAATAATTTTTTTTTTTGCTCTCCTCTTCCTCACATT